CCTGGCATGAGTGGTAACAACTATCACTAATGCTCTGATGTGCCAGGTGGATCACAGACTTCTTGCAACAGCCTGTAAGCCAGGTGCTGTATGGCCTCTGTGTTACAGATGAGGAAGCTGAGTCAGGTTAAGGAACTTGTCCGTGGTCACCCTAATACCTGAAACTGGGGTTCAGGTAGAACCTGGATTCTGAACCACACTGTACAGCTTCTGGTCCTTTCTGGAACTCTATTGTCCAAAAAGCTGGGAGTGTGTGTAGACAGAGACAAGGTCCAAGGACTTCGGCTGTGGGGGTGTCCCAGATGCCAAGCAAAAAAAGAACAAGAAGGTCACATACAGTGAAGACAGAAAACAGAGCTCCTTGGAGGTCACCAGTAATGCAAGAATAGTTTTCATGGAGTTGGGGGGTGGGCAGGAGAGGAGGAGATTGAACAAAACACCCACTTAGGGAGTTTTGCTGTAAAGAATAGCAGGGGGAGAGTGGTAGCTAGACAGGGTGGAGGGGTGTGGGTGTTTTGTTTTGTTTTGTTTTTTTAGTGGGAAGAACACAGCTTGTTCTTGGTGATGGAAATGATTCGAGAGAGGGCACACAGTGAGGATGCAGGAGAAACATCTTTTTTTTTTTTTTTTAAAGATTTTATTTATTTATTTGAGACAGAGAGAATGAGAGAGACAGAGAGCACATGAGAGGGGGGAGGGTCAGAGGGAGAAGCAGGCTCCCCGCCAAGCAGGGAGCCTGACGTGGGACTAGATCCCGGGACTCCAGGATCATGACCTGAGCCGAAGGCAGTCGCTTAACCAACTGAGCCACCCAGGCGCCCAAGAGAAACATCTTTGAATGATACTCATGGAGGGGTTGTCCACGCATGGACAGAGCGTGGACGTTCATCTAGAAATGGGCCAGATGGCAGATTACAGGTATAGATAGGGAGGCAGAGGCGGAAAGAGGAGTGTGTGGGATATTTCTTCAAGGCTGATCCCATTTTCTCAGAGAAACAGGACCTGAAGTCATGTAGCTGAGTGAGAAGGTGGGGAGATGATGAAGGTCTTGAGGAGAGAGAAAGTGGGAGGAAAAACAGACCAGGGCAATAGGAGGCTCCACTGTGGGATTTGAAAATAAGATCAGTCAGATAGGTTGTGGGATTTCCATTTCTCTGGGCTGTTCAGCTAGTTGGGAGGGTAGGGGTAAGGCAGGTGGGGTTAGACATGCAAGGGAAGGATTATATTGATGGGTTGTGAATTCTAAGCTGGACAAGGAGGGAAGTGAGACAATAAAGGGGCAAGGCATTGGCAGGATCAATGGGGTCAAATCCAGCCCCCTGGCCATTTTTTTCTTTTATTGTGGTAAAATGTACATAGCATAAAGTTTGCTATTTTCACTACTTTATTTTATTATTTATTTATTTTTTTAAAGATTTTATTTATTTTATTTTTTTGAGAGAGAAACCACATGAGAGGGGGGAGGGTCAGAGGGCGAAGCAGACTCCCTGCCAAGCAGGGAGCCTGATGCAGGACTCGATCCAGGGACTCCAGGATCATGACCCAAGCCGAAGGCAGCCGCCCAACCAACTGAGCCACCCAGGCGCCCTGTTTTCACTATTTTAAAGTGTACAATTCAGGGGGTGCCTGGCTGGCTTGGTAGAGCATGTGACTTTCGATCTTGGGGTCATGAGTTCAAGCCCCACACTGGGTGTCAAACCTACTTAAAATAAAAAATAAAAATAAAATATGTTTAAAGTGTACAATTCAGTGGCATTAATTGCATTCCCAATGTTGTGCAACCATCACTGTTTCCAAAATTTTCCGTCACCCCAAACAGAAACACCATACTCATTAAGCAATAACTCCCCCATTTCCCCCCCACCCTGCCACACACCCCGCCTCAGTAACCTCTGATCTACTTTCTTTCTCAATGAATTTGCCTATTCTAGGTATTTCATGCCAGTGGAATCATACAATATGTGATCTTTTGTATCCTGGCTTATTTTACTTACCATGTTTTCAAGGTTCATCTATATTGTAATATATATTAGCACTTCATTCCTTTTTTTTTTAAGATTTTTATTTATTTGACAGAGAGAGACACAGAGAGAGAGAGAGCACAAGCAGGAGGAGTGGGAGGAGAAGCAAGCTCGCACCAAGGAGGGAGCCCGATGTGGGGCTCAATCCCAGGACCCTGGGATCATGACCTGAGCTGAAGGCAGACGCTTAATGACTGAGCCACCCAGGCGCCCCAACACTTCATTCCTTTTTAGGCTAAGTAATATTCCATCATATGGGTAGACCACATTTTGTTCATCCATTCATCAGCTGAGGGACAGTGGGTGGTTTGCACCTCTTGGCTACTGTAAATAATGCTGCTATGAACACTGGTGTACAATTACCTGTTGGAGTCCCTGTTTTCATTCTTTTGGGTATATACCTAGGAGTGGAACTGCTGGGACATATGACAACCTCTGCCAGGTTTTGTATGGCCCCCGAGCTAAGAATGGTATGGTCCCCCCAAGGTGTTCACATCCCAATCTGTGGAACTTGTAAGTTAGCTTATGTGGCAAAAAGCTTATGTTGAAGATACAACTAAGGCAAGGATCTTGAGATGGAGAAATTATTCTGGATTATCTGGGTGGGCCCAAAGTCATCATAAAAGAGGCAGAGTGTGTGTGGGGGGGCGTCAGAGTCTGAGAAGGAGATATGGTAATAGAAACAGAGGTTGGAGTGAGCCACCAGAGTGGGGTCACCAGCCAAGAAACATGGAAGCTGGAAAGGTAAGGAAAGGAGTCTCCCCTAGAGCTTTCAGAAGGAACGCAGCCCTGCTGACAACAGGATTTTATTTTTTATAAAATTTTTAAAAAAGATTTTATTTATTTATTTGACAGAGAGACAGCGAGAGAGGGAACACAAGCAGGGGGAGTGGGAGAGGGAAAAGCAGGCTTCCCGCGGAGCAGGGAGCCCGATGCGGGGCTCGATCCCAGGACCCTGGATCATGACCTGAGCCGAAGGCAGACGCTTAACCCACTGAGCCATGCAGATGTCCCCAACAGCAGAATTTTAGTCAAATATAACCCTTTTGGACTTCTGACCTCCAGAGAATACATTTGTATTGGTTTAAGCCAGGAACTTCGTGTTAATTTGTTACAGTAGCAATGGGAAACTATTACAAATAACTTGCCCTTTACAGAAGAAGTTTGCTGACCCCCTAATATAGGGCAGGAAGGTGACTGAATCAGGGGTGGAGGCTCTAAGGGATTTTGCAGGGGGCACAGTGGACCGAATTTGGGAATCCTGGGTACGGGGACAGCCTGGAGTTTGAGGGTCTTTTGTCACTTCGGGAAAGAGGGCTAAGTGTTGGGAGGGAGTTGGATGGGGTGGTGGGGGCTGCAGTGGTATTTCAGGCCCTGGGGGAGGGGCGGCTGAACCACCGCAGGGAGTCGTTTTGGCACCTTTGGCAGAAATAAGGAGACCGGGCGCCTGGGTGGCTCAGTTGGTTAAGCGACTGCCTTCGGCTCAGGTCATGATCCTGGAGTCCCGCATCGGGCTCCCTGTTCAGCGAGGAGCCTGCTTCTCCCTCTGACCCTCCCCCCTCTCATGTACTCTCTCATTCTCGCTCTCTCAAATAAATAAATAAATCTTAAAAAAAAAAAAAAGAAATGAGGAGACCAGTCTGAATGACAGGGTGCTCAGGGGGAACCAGGCTCCACCAAGGCAGTTCTGTAAGAGAAGAGCAAGGGAAAGACACACTTCTCCAGGCTCTCATTCATTCATTCCTTCATTCATCCACTCAGGCACTATAGACCTGACTCCATGTATACAGTTATGTGGCCCTGTATCCTATTTGCCCCCCAGAAGTCATCATTTCCTGAGCACATTTCCTGTCCCCACAGTGAGGCTTTCCAGGGACTGGGATCTGTACTTGGGGAAACTGCCCAACAGGTTGGTTTAAGGATCGGAGAACATGCATGCAAAAATCTACAAGGTTGTGGCAATATCTAGTAACAATAATAGTTCCTAAAGTTAACAGTAACTCTTGTTATTAGTAGGAATATTTTAATTAGGAGGCGCGATTTGGGCGGAACCTTGAAGGCGGATGGGATTGGGAAAGGCGGTGGGCAGGAGGGAGGACATTCCAAGGCAGGCGTGGTCTTCCTGAGCCAGGAGCCAACCCTCCAGGAGCCAGGGGAGGGGATATGGGAAGGAGGACGGAAGCTGGCCGCACAGCGTCCCTCCCTCCCCGCCCCGGGCCGTCACCCGTAGTAGAGAGCGCACCCTGGCGGAGGAGCAGGTCCCGCACTGGCTTAGCCATGAATAAGAAGCTTCGGCCCTCTGGCCCTCCGCCTCCTGTTGTCCAGCCTCCCCGCGGAGGGGGAAAGTGGGAGGGAGGGTAATGGGGTACCCGGCAGCAGCCACCAGGCTTTCGAGCCGCGCAGGCAGCCTGCCGCCGGGGCCGCTGCCGTCCTGGCCCGCCTCCACCCTTCACTCCCCACCGGGCCCCCCGTTTCCTAAGGCAGCCCCAGGATCTGAGGCGCCCGGCGCGCCCCCCTTTGCTTCCTCCTCCCCGGCTCCGGGATTCCCAGGCTCCAGAGCCCGGGCTGGGCGGCCAACTGGGCAGGCAGGCAGGCAGGGAGGGAGGGGGCTGGCTGGCTTCCGAAGTCGGCCCCAAGTTACATGTGGGAAGAGGTGGCTGTGACGCAAGTTTCCAGGGGGCCCTGGGCTCGGAGGGAGCGCGCCAGAGCGGCTCCTCTCCGTGCAGCTGCAACCGTGAAAAAGAAAAAGCCCCGAGCAGCACCCCAGGCCGCCTAAGCCGTCTTCGTCGGGCCCAGCTGCGCGCCCTCTGTCCCCGAGGGCCGCCGAGCGCGGGACCCTGCATCAGGCAGTCCCTGCCGGACCCCGGACGCACGGGCTAGGCTCCCTCGCGGTGGCTGGCCCTTTTTTTTTTTTTTGCAACGCTTGCCAACCTGTCAGCTGATGGACCTCATCACCCATAGTGGCGCATGTAGCTCGGCCGCAGCTCGCTCCATTCACGCCGCGCCCCCCCAGCCGGCCCACGGCCCCCGGCTCCTGGTGCCGGGCGGTAGGCCCACAGACCCTGGCCGCAACCGGCCCCCGGAGGCCTGCGCCCCTCTCGCCCCGGCCTCGCGCCGCCCGGGGGGCGCTGCAAATAGTCCTTTGTTTACATGCAATTCCTTACTCCGCGGAAGGAGGCCGGGGGAGTGCTGAGTTTTCACCAGCTGTTTCCCGCCTTGAAACAGACATCTGATCAGCTGCAAACACACACACACATACACACGCCCGGGGAGGCAGGCCGGAGAGACCTCCCTCCCGCCCCTCCCGCCCGCCTCCCTCCCCTCGCCGCCGCCGCCGCCAGCATCTGGGACCGGCCGTTTCTGCACCTCCGTCCGGCGCTGCCCTTTGATTCGGATTTCCATCTTGCATTCTCCGGCTGACCGCGGGACCCGGCTCGTGCAGAGGAGGGGGGCCGATCGCTATGGAGTATTTCATGGTACCCACTCAGAAGGTGCCCTCTTTGCAACATTTCAGGAAAACAGAGAAAGAAGTGATAGGAGGGCTCTGTAGGTGTGTACTCCTCCTCCCCCCCACCCCCTTCCCATGATTGCAGCCCCCGGCCAGCCCTCCCGGGCTGGCGCGCGTGTGCGCACGCATGGCCCGCGCTGCCGACCCCGCTCGCCTTTCTTAGCCGCCGGGGCGGCTACAGCCCCGCGCGCCGGGCTTGCGCGGCCGGGGGACCCTCCTCCCCCGGAACGTGGGGGCCCCAAGCGGCCCCGGTCACTTTTGTCCGCTGCAGGCGGGCGAGTCGCGACGTTTGTAAATTGCAAACAGACCCACGTGGTTCTGCAGCAGTCCCGGCCATGCTTGGTGCTGGTGGCTTTCCCCCCCGCGCTTCCTCCTCCCCCCGCCCGCGGCGGCTTCCTTCCTCTCCCTCCTTCTTCGCTGTCTCTGGGTGACCCCCTCCAAGGGAGCTTGGGGGGCCCGGGCCGCGCGTGGGGCTGCGGGGCGGGCGGCTACAATGCAGCCACGCCGCGGCTCTGGGCGCGGGGTCGGGGGGGAGGATCGGGGAGCCCGGTGATGTGTTTGCAGGGAGCGGGGCTGCGGCGGGGATGGGGGGGCGTGCTCGAGTGGGGGTGCGGGAATGGGTGGGACCCGAGAGGCCGGCGCTACCGGCCGTGTGGCGCCGCGGACTCCGGCACGTTGGCGGCCGGTCGCACGCTTGCCGCCCGCGCCCGGGCGCTGTTTACTAGCGAGGCCTGGACGTGACTCTGCAGCCCTCTTGGAGTAGGCGGACCTCGGCGCGCCGCCTCTCGGGAGCTGTAGTTCCCCGCGCCCTGCCGGTGCGGCATTGTGGGAGTTGTAGGCGCGCCCGGGCCACGCTTTCCCCGCACAAAGCTCGGCTCCCGAGGGCTGGATGGGCCAGGCAGGCCCGGGGTGGGGATGCTTTTGGGGGAGGGGGCACCGGACGCCGCCCCTGGCTTCACGAGGCCGCTGCCTGTAGCACGCACGTCTCGGCTGCAAACTTTCCCATCCCACGCCCCTCCCCCTAGCCATAAACCGAAAGCGATCAATCTTGCAGCCCGGTGGGTGCGTGGGTGGGTGATCCCAGGTCCCCGGCCCTCCCCGGGAGCCACTTCCCAAGTTTGCCCCGGGTTGCTCCAGATCCACCCTTTATCAAGGATGATGGGTGCGTGCACCACTCGCATCCCGTTCCCCTGGACACTTGTTAAAATGCACATGCCCGAAACTCCGATGGCCAGGAGAAGGGCCTGGGCATCTGCACTGAACACGGCCCGCGGGACATGGCAGTGCTGCGTCTGGGGCTCTCCTGTGTGCCCAAGCATCAGGAACCTAAAGGCCCCTGAGAACCATGCTACTCCTGGAGCGAAATGGCTCCCTAGGGCTGGGGCCACGTGCTCTGCCGCCCGGGGCAGGCTGGGCGGGGATTGAGGGAGGAGGAGCCTGGGGCGGTGTGGCCCAGGCTGGTGGACAGCAGGGGCTGCAGAAACCGGGTTCGGAGAAGGTTGCTGCTCAAGTATACACACGCACACCCCCTCACCTCGCCCCAGGGCTCCTACCTTAACAGTTCTCAAGTTCAGGATGCTGGCCCTTCCAGAAGGTCTACCTGGAGGGCCTAGCTGTAATAAGTAAAGAAAAAAAATTCTGGAGCTCTTAATAATATGTTTTAGGGATTCGTTTTGCTAGATTTTTCTCATTGAATTTTCACACTCTTCTTCCTCAGTTAAGCGGCCTTATGATTCCCATATGGGATGAGGACAGAGGCTTGAGAAGGGCAAGTGGTGGGGCTGGGACTTGAACCCTGATTCCAGAGCCCTGCTCTTACCCCTAGTGGCTGGTTGCTCAGAGAAGGGCTGGGCGGGACTATTTGGGCCTGATCCTGGGCAGGCTTGGCACAGCCGAGACCTCTGGCCACCAGGCCTGGGACTTAGTTTAATCCTCTCTTGGCCTCCCAGGATTCTGGCTTCACTGTCCTTGTCCCAAGCCCTGCTTTAGAGGAGTCCAGCAGTCTCTAGGGGTCAGGTGCCCCAGGCTCAGGCCTGGGGACATGCTCAGCCTGCCTATCTGTGAGACAGGTGTAAGCCTCTGCACTGGGTGTGGAGTTGGGCCCTCTGGGTTTGTTCATTTTCAGAAGAAGCTGTGGGCTGAGGTGGGATCAAGTGTGTGGGTTAGGTGGGACCTTCGGGCTGTGTGGACGGCTTCTGAGGCTGGGGGGCTTTGTTCCATCCCTCAGTGACTAGAAGGGCTCCCTACCTCTCTCATTCCCCTCCCAGACCCACTGGAGGGGGCCGTACTGCAAAGTGGGCACCAACTGATGTGTCCCCCACCCCGCATCACCCTCCTAGCCCGGCTCATGCCCATGCTCTGTGGTTTTGGACTTGTGTGGTCTCACTGCTCTCCACTTCTATAAAATGGAGCACCTGTGAAGGTTGGTTGTGTGTCTGGAAAGCGCCTGGTGTCTGTTAAAATAGCACTCAGACTCTTAGAATCGGGAGCATTGTGGTCTTATTAAGTGTTTACCTGCTGTCCTTGGTGGAGGCAAAGACCAGTTCTCAGGAGGTAGAGACAGGGGCTTTGGAGTGTGTCCCGAGTCCCTGATCCAGTATATATGTGGCATCTACTCTGTGCTGGGAACCAGGATTGGCTCTGTCCTAACAGCTCAAAATCTGGTGCTAAAGAGTCTTGTCAGCCCCATAATAAAGAGAGATCTTGGGATCTCCTGGAGTCCTGTGTACAAACTCTGGAAAAACAAGGCATCCTGTTGCGCTCAATCTCTTTTTTCTTCTTCCATCTCCTTCTCTCTTTTATAACCTAAGGATCATTTTTACTTACTTATTTATTTTTAAAAGTACTCTCTGTGCCCAATGTGGGGCTTGAACTCATGACCTCTGAGATCAAGAGTCTCATGCTCTACTGATTGAGCCAGGCAGGCGCCCTCTTCCTCCATGTCTTTTAAATTTCACCATGACCCTATGAAGTGAGGCAGTAGCCCCCCATTTTACAGGTGGGTAAACAGGCTTTGGGAGATGAAGTGCTTAAGCATGGGGTTCCATGGCTAGTAAATGGCCGGGCTGGTTTGTACTTGAACACAGTGCAGGGAACTCCCTCTGAAAGACCGAGGAAGCCCGAGAGGGGAGAGGTGTTTCTGATGGGAACAGCCTGGCCATGGTCTGTTCAGAGCCAAGGGCAGGGGTGGCAGGCTGGTCAGAGTGAGGTGTATGGATAGAAGCAGTGGGGCTGGGTGAAGGCCCTGGGCTGCTTCAATACTTGGCTGCACAGAGAAGGATGAGCGCCTTGGCATCCTTGCTGAGGGTCGCTTCTTCCCTCCTGTCCTCCTCTTGGGGTGTGGGAGAAATCCCATGTGGGCTTTCCCACCTCTCACTGGAAATGTTGAGTGGCATGTATGTGAGTGACTTTGGGCAGTGAAAAATGAGAGTTCTCCATGCCTAATCTGAGGCTGGAGCTGAGCCTGGGGGTGTAGGTGGATGGGGGCTACTTGCCTTTGGGCTGGGCAGGAAGAACAGGTACAGGTCAGGATTCTGTCTTGAAGAGTGTGCTTCCTACCCCAGAGGCTCTGATCGCTATGCTGGTGTTATTCCCAGGGGGCCGTCTGGGGGTACTCTGGTATTGGGGTGGCAGTCTTGGCACCCAGGGCTGGTACCCAAACTGTTCTTGGCCGTTGGCCGCCCTTCTCCTGGAGACTGACTGTCGGAGGGCAGTCCGGGAGGGAGAGAAGGAACAGACGCTGGGTGTCAGTGGACCCTTCACTGCTCACCTGCGAGTCTGAAGTTGATGTGGAGGGGGCAGAGGGCCTTACCATTCCTTACCATTCCTGTAAATCACATTTATGTGTGCAAAGCTCAGAAAGAAGTGTAAGAAACTTTCAGGCATTTGCAGAAAAAATCCCCTTTATCCCTATCTAGTACAGTAGCTGGACTAGCCATCCATTACAGGAATCTCTGGTTGGTCAGCGATCAGGACCCCTGGTTGGCCAGCACTCCCACCAATCAGAACTCCTGGTTAGCCGTGATTCCACCAATCAACAGCTGGTTAGCCGGCTTTCGCCAATCAGAACCCCAGATGAGTCAACATTCCACCAATCAGAAACCTTGGTTAGTCCACATTCTATTAAAGAAACTATCAACTGGTACTTCCAGGGCTATTTCGGGGAGTTATCCATTAGGGTCTTGGTGGCAGTCCCTCATGAGGAACTGCAGCTTTGGGGTGAAGTCTGTTTTCTGGGACTTGAGTGTGCATTAGGTTCCCCAGCAGCTGGTTCCTGAACCAGGAGGCTGGGTGGATGGACTTGGTGGCAAAGGGGACAGAACGGATGGAACATTGGGAAGAACCAAGATGAGCAGGCTCTGCTCCTTGCCTGGGTCCTTCACTCTCCTTTGGTGTCTCCAGTTCCCGGGCATCCTGGGGAGAAGGGAGGAGCGGAGGGTCTCCCAGGGCAGAGATTTTCATGGGCAGATGAGCTGGCTGGTTGGGGGAGGTGGGGCTGAACTCTGGTTTCTTTGGGGGTTGGGGGGCATAGGTGGGACTTGGGGGGGTAGTGGGGGCTGGGACATGCAGGAGCTGCATTGCCTGCACCCTGCTCCTCCTGTCTTTCATGGTGGACTTGGGCAGGGCATTCTACTTCTGTGCCTGTTTGTTGGGAGGGGCAGGGACACTACCTGCTGAGGCCATACACGGGACTCTGGTAAGCAGCAGCCGCTTTGTGAGCCATCAGTGGAGGGTACCATGGCGGGGGGGGAGCTGGGCTTTGGCATCTGCAGGTGCCTGTTGAGCCCTGGTCTGGCTGTCTGACCTTGGTGGCTTGGCTTCCTTTGGACATCTCTTCCCACCTCTTTTTTTAAGTAAGCTCTATACCCGACATGGGGCTTGAACTCACGACCCCAAGATCAAGAGTCATATGCTCTTCTGACTGAGCTAGCCAGGCTACCTACCCCACCTCTTCTTCTTCTTCTTCTCCCCACCACAGAGGGTCTGGAGGGCACAGCCAGACCAGGGAGCCTGGACTAGGTTCTAATGCCCCCCACAAAGGGCAGGCAAGCCCCTGCATATCAGGTCTCAGGCCTGCATCCTCTCCATTGTTCCGCCCAGACATCCCATCATCTCCACTGTAGGGGCGGGGAAACTGGAAGAAGGGAGGTGCCCCTGGCCCAGAAGTGGGGGGCCAGATGACTGGTAGTCTGACTCTAAAGCCCTGTCCCTCCTCACTCTGAGCCCTGAGTCTTATCTGTGAAGAAAGGGTTGTGGGTCCCCTTTCTTTTTTTCAAGATTTTATTTATTTATTTGAGAGAGAGAGAATGAGAGAGAGAGAACACCTGAGAGGGGATAGGGTCAGAGGACGAAGCAGACTCCCTGCCGAGCAGGAAGCCCGATGCGGGACTCGATCCAGGGACTCCAGGATCATGACCTGAGCCGAAGGCAGTCGCTCAACCAACTGAGCCACCCAGGCACCCTGTGGGTCCCCTTTCGAACATCGACATTCTGGGTGCCGTGATGAAACTGCATCCTGAGGCAGGGGGCCCGGGGAGGCCTTGGAGGTGCTGGTGGAGGAGAGGGCTTGTCTGTGGACCCCCAGCCGAGGCTGACATGGACTACCTCTCTGTCAGGAGAGGAGGCGAAGGCCCAGGAAGGGGCAAGGGCAAGTCCAGGGTCCTGCAGGCCTGGAGTAGGACAGATGGCTTGGGCCAGGGGGCCAGGAAAGGCCTTGGCTGTCTCCAGCTGTTGTAGACGTGTTCTCCTGGGTTTCTGAGCAAACTCCTTTCTGCCTGGGGACGGGCACAGGGGCTTGGGCACCTCTTTGAACCCAGGGCCCCCATCTATGGAATAAGGCTACCCGTAGTCCTTTTCCCTACTTCTCTAGAACCAGGGGTGTAGCTCTCTTGGCCCAGGCCTGGACCAGGTCACCCCCGGGAGGGCCCCTCAGGAAGAAGCCAGGGCTGTGGCTTTGGGTGGGGCCGGTGGCCTCTTCTGGGAGCCCAGCATCTGGAAGCCATCAGGCCAGGGGCGGGGGGAGTTACAGGAGAGGGCCGGGAGAGGGGAAATGCCTCCTCCAGGCCACACACAGGCCCAGCCCTCGGGAGCGGTGGCGTTGGGCCCACAGGCCCCGCTGCTGCCTTTGCCTCCTGCCGATGCCGCTGGGCCCACAGCCTCCCCCCTTCCACTGGCTGTCTTCTCTCTCACCCCCCTAGCTGCTGCTCCTGTAAGATGCAGTCACGTAATTTGCAATACCATTTCGACTGCACGCTGAGAGCTTTGCTTGTCTGGCACTGGGTGGGCCTGCCTCTTGGGGTGCGTGGGCTTGGGGGAGAAGTGTCTCCAGGCGTGGTTGGTCTGATGTCCCCTTCTTGGAGGGAGTGGTACCTGTCTCATTTTTGAAGTCTTAGCATGGGGTCTCTGGGGCCAGGCTGGGGCCTTGCAGATGAGTGTGTGGCTGGAGATACGGTTGTGGCAATGGGGAGGGAGGAGGGATCTCTTCGCTCAGTCCTCAAGCCTGCAGTCATGAAGGAGGGGGTCCAGGTATATAGCCAGGAGCTCAGAGGTGTCCCAGGGACAGGTGTCTGCAGTTAATTGTCTGGGACCATGGGCATCAGAATCACAGAGATTCTTGGTAGCCGTTCAGGCTTCTGAGCCCCACCCACACGGGCTGGGCAGACACTGGGGCTGGGACCTAGGGCTGCACACTTACTGACACCCAGGCATCCCAGAGCATACTACTCCATCACCCTCCGGATCTGCTGCGGGTGTAGGCATCTGACAGGTCTGGCATCTTCTGCACTGGGAGGGATGAAAGTTATACTAGGGGCCCTCTGGAGGTGAATGGTAAAGACAGGGTCCCACCGGGGCAGGGTACGGAGGGCACCTAGCCTGAGCATGTCTTTATCCTCCCCTGCAGCCTTGCCAACATTCCACTGACCCCTGAGACTCAGCGGGACCAGGAGCGGCGGATTCGGCGGGAGATCGCCAATAGCAACGAGCGGAGGCGCATGCAGAGCATCAACGCGGGCTTCCAGTCCCTCAAGACCCTCATCCCCCACACAGATGGAGAGAAGCTCAGCAAGGTGGGCTAGGGCCCGGAAGGCTTCCTGGAGGAAGTGGTGGGCTCAGGTGGGGAGAAGAAAGTGAGCCTTGGCAGACCCTGCCCGCTGGGGTCCCTGACTTGTCCCTCCCGCCCTCAGGCAGCCATTCTCCAGCAGACGGCAGAGTACATCTTCTCCCTGGAGCAGGAGAAGACCAGGCTTCTGCAGCAGAACACACAGCTCAAGCGCTTTATCCAGGTAGCACCCTGTGGAGGCCTCCTGCTGCCTCAGTGCCTTGCCCTCTTCCTGGCTCCCTTTCCCTTGTTTGGCCTGTCCCGGCTCACCATGGCCTGGGACTCTGATCTGGTTGCAGGCTGCATCTTCCCCACTGACCTGCCTACTTCAGGCATTTCCCTTCTTGCCTGGGCCTCTGTTTACCTATCCATCAAGTGCAGTGGGGTGGGCTCTGGAAGGAACCGGGTGATTTCTGGAAAGCAAGTCCATTCTGCTCCCTTTCTGGCCTTTGGCCATTTGTTGGATTTGCAGAATGGGGCACACCTGGGCCTGACAGCCTTGGGGGGCTGAGAGGGAGTCCTCTGACCTGGTGGTGGTGCTGTTGGTAATATGGGGGTGTCAGAGCACACTCACTGGCCCCTTGGGGTCCCCAGGAGCTGAGCGGCTCATCCCCCAAGCGGCGGCGGGCAGAGGACAAGGACGAGGGCATCGGGTCGCCAGACATCTGGGAGGACGAGAAGGCGGAGGACCTGCGCCGGGAGATGATCGAGCTGAGGCAGCAACTGGACAAGGAGCGCTCGGTGCGCATGATGCTGGAGGAGCAGGTGAGGCTGCTGGGTTGAGCAGTTATTTACAGGCGCACCTGCTTTGTGCCAGGCCTGAGAGTGAGGGACCCAGCCGGGAGCAAAGCAGACGGCTCCCTTTCTTCGGGGTCACTGTCTGCATGGGGTGGGGGAACATTAGAGGATCTCACACTGTAAAAACACAGCTGTGGGGTGTCTTGGGGGCTCAGTCAGTTAAGCCTCTGCCTTCGGCTCAGGTCACGATCCCAGGGTCCTGGGATCCATCCCCACGTCTTGCTCGCTGCTCAGCGGGGAGTCTGCTTGTCCCTCTCCCTCTGTCCCATCCCCCTTCCCCCCCTTGTCTGAGCATGCATGTGCTCTCGCTCTTTCTTAAATAAATAAATAACATCTTAAAAAAAAAACAACACACAGCTGTAATAAAGGCCACGTGCCAGTGGTGGGCACTGGGGAACCAGGGAGGCTGCCCTACGGCTTCTCCGTGGAAGTGACTTGAGCTGAGGTTGGGAGGTCAAGTCTCGAAGTTAACGGTGCAGAGAGGCGAGAAGGGTGCTCTGCACAGAGCAGCATGGGCAGGGGCCTGGAGGTGGGAGGGAGCACGGCATGAGGGAGGCCGTGGCAGGAGAGGAGGTGAGTCACGGCGAGCCCGGCAGGCTGCTCTAAGGACTTTGGTCTCTACCCCGAGGGTGGACAAGCTCCATGCTAGGGTTTGCAGCAGGAGCGAATGGTCTCTTGGCGAAGGACAGAGCTTGGGGAGGCTGACCTCAGCAGTCCTGAGGGCCCTGCTCGCGGTGGGGGGGGGGGCGCCGGGGTGTGGTCCGAGCCCTGCCCCGAACCTATTGTCCTGCCCCCAGGTGCGCTCGCTGGAGGCCCACATGTATCCGGAAAAGCTCAAGGTGATCGCACAGCAGGTGCAGCTGCAGCAGCAGCAGGAGCAGGTGCGGCTGCTGCACCAGGAGAAACTGGAGCGGGAACAGCAGCACCTGCGGACCCAGGTGAGCAGGAGGTGCCGGGAGGGGCTTTTACCTGCAGCATCAGTGCCTCTGGGCCCCGGCGGGGCAGACTCAGGACCTAAGGTTACTGGCTCCCAGGTGTCCTGCATGTGTTACTACGTTGAAGCCTTGTAACCGCCCTTTGAGGCCTGAGCTCTTATTCTTCCCATTTTACTGATGGCAAAATTGAGGCGCGGAAAGGTTACATTATATGCCCACTCGTGATCCTCAATGACATGGCCGTCGAAATCCAGAGTCCACACTCTTGACAAACAGTGTATTTTTTTTTAAGATTTATTTACTTAAAAAAGTTTTTTTGAAGATTTTATTTATTTATTTGACAGAGAGAGAAATAGCAAGAACAGGAACACAAGCAGGGGGAGAGGCAGAGGGAGAAGCAGGCTTCCCGCCGAGCAGGGAGCCCGACGTGCGGCTCGATCCCAGGAGCCTGGGATCATGACCCGAGCCGAAGTCACATGCTTAACGACTGAGCCACCCAGGCGCCCCTACTTTTAATAAATTTTTTATTTACTTATTTTAGAGAGCGAGAGCAAGCACGAGTGGGGGGAGGGGCAGAGGGAGCAGGAGAGAGACTGAAGTAGACTCCCTGCTGAGTGAGGAGCCTGATGCGGGGGCTCGATCTCACAACCCCGAGATCGTGACCTGAGCCAAAATCAAGAATCAGATGCTTAACCGCCTGAGCCACCCAGGCACCCCACAACCACTGGATTTATTAGCTATTGAAGTGCTTGCTTGGTGCTGGAGAGTGAAGGGGCCACGGGATCTCAGATGGCTGAGAAGGCCCTCTCTGGACCAACCTTTCTCTCATTTTTAAAATAAGAGGGGTGGAGCACAACCTGGCTGGCCCTCTGTGAGTGAAGGAGTTCAAGGGCTGGGGTGGTTGGCAGAGGCTCTCTCGAAGCAGATGGTTTCGAGGGCCGTCCCTCTGTGAGCGACAGAAGGACAGAAGGGAAGGGGCAGCTCCTAGAACCTTTGGAAAAAGACTGAGGGCCTCTGTCTTGCAGCTTCTGCCCCCTCCGGCTCCCACCCACCACCCCACAGTGATCGTGCCGGCACCACCCCCTCCCTCCCACCACATCAACGTTGTCACCATGGGCCCCTCCTCGGTCATCAACTCTGTTTCCACGTCCCGGCAAAACCTGGACACCATCGTGCAGGTACCTGGGCTCGGGGACGGGGCATCATGTGGGAACGGGCCCTTTGTGTCCATTCCCGCGTCTCCCTTTCTGTGTCTGTGGTGGGAGGTGGCTCTGGAGAAGGTTTAGGGCAGAGAATGGGCAGGGGACAGCATGGCCTGGAAGACCCCGTTCCTTCCCTCTATGGGATTTGCCGAGAGGGCTCTTTGCTCCCTGAGCCCCTTGTGGTCAAGTTCCTGCATCCAGCTCTTGGGTTGGTCCAGGGTTTCCTCTCAGCTCCATCTCCCAGGACCCGGGGCGGGGTGCCGATGGCAGTGGCTGGCTGGGGGACAGTTAAGCCTCCTGCACAGGAGGGAGAAACAAGATGATCGATCAGCTCTGTGGGTCAGGCCCGAAGTCTCTGCTGGGCCCAGCTTTGCATGGCCCCCCTTGGGAGAACCAACAGCATCACAAAAAGAAAGAACTAAACAAAAAAACCCCATCAACCCCTGCAACTGTAGTTGCACATAAACCCAGCAAATTGACTAATAAAGTTAATAACAGAGACCTTGCATAAGTGAACAGGCACTTTGAAATATATAAATGAGGGACGCTTGTGACTCCCAGGCGACCCTGCACTGTGATCCCCTAGAAGTTTTTCGGCTTAGCCGAGGCATTCTGATCGCTGGGCAGGCCGGCTGCTGTCTTGCTAGGCTTCCTTGTGGGCCTTTCGGGGGGGGGGGGTGTGTGCGTGTCCCCGGCCGCCCTCATCACAGCCTGGCCCCCCCCAGGCGATCCAGCACATCGAGGGCACCCAGGAAAGGCGGGAGCAGGAGGAGGAGCAGCGGCGAGCGGTCATCGTGAAGCCGGGCCGCAGCCTCCCTGAGGCCCACGCCTCTGACACTGCCTCCGATTCGGAGGCCTCGGACAGCGACGCCATGGACCAGAGCCGGGAGGAGCCAGCGGGGAACGGGGGGCTTCCCTGACCACCCCCCAGCCCTCCTTTCCCTTCTTGGGGCTGGAGGGGGCCGGTGGGGCAGCAACAGGGAGCAACGCAGGTGAACGAGTGAGGAATTTTTACAAAATTACGACGTCATTTGGGTCTCTTTTATGACCTCTTTTTCAATACTGTAAATCCACCTTGGAGCGAAGCCACCTGACCTGAGGTCCCGGGGGCTGGCGTGGCAGGAGCGTGTGGGAGCACCGGGACACCTGGGGCTGGGCCTCGCCCCGGAGGCCGGGGGAAGCTGACACAGGTGCCTGGCCTCTCTCCGCCAAAAAGCATTTTTTCATTTAAACATGTTTTTAAGAACAGGGAAAATCAAACAAAACCCCAAGGTATTCTGCCCTCCCCAGAGCCAGCCCTAGATGGTCAGTTTTTGACTCCTTCCCTCCTCTTTTTGGTTTTTTTCCTTTCTCCTTTAAGCACTTACATGGGTTGGGGGTCTGGCTGGGTCGGGGCTCTCCGGGGGTCCGGGGGTCTACAATGCTTCTCGGTTGGGGTTTGCTGCTGCCCTTCTCCCCTCCCCTCCTGGCCTCGGCTCAGCACGAGGATTCGCCACTCCCCACCACCACCCAGCCCCATCTCTCCCTCCAGGTTTCCCATCTTCCACCCCAAAAATGTCTTTGTCTCTCTCTTTTTGTTTTGTTTGTTGTTGGTTCTTTTTGGTTTTGGTTTTGTTTATCTTTTCTGTTTTTTGTTTTTGTTTTTGTTTTTTTTTACAATTTTGAGGTCTTTGTGTTCAAGGAGAAGCTATTATATTTTGTTAAGAAAGTGGGGGGAAAAAAACCAAGAGGCCACCGTGCCTTTATAAAGAAACAAAATAAAGTTTGTACTTTGTTTTTTAGATTCTGTGTCTCCTGGGTGTGTGCTGTCCTGAGGGGCTGGGGAAGGCTTTCTGGACTAGAGTATGGGGTGCTCTTGGGGCCCTCCAGAGGGGACTGGGTGTAGCTGAGCACGATGACTTCCCCCAGCTTGAGTGTCGTGTTGCAATGAGCAGTCAGGGTCCCCAGACTCCCTGGGATTACTCCCTCAATCGTGCAAAGAGGGGAGATAGTGTTGGGGTGGGAGGAGTGTCTCCCAACTTGGTGGGAGGCAAGGAGAGAATGAACCACCAAGAAACAGGTTCCTATCTCTTAGACAAAGGACACAGGATGTTCAGGGGTCCTGGTTGTCACTAGGCTTTGCCACTTCCTCATCTTGTGTAACCTCCCTGAACCTCAGTCTCCCCAGTTACAGAAGGGAAGGGAGTATTACCTCCTGGTGTGGTGGGAAAGAGATAAGGTCCTGGAGTCTGTCTGCCAGCAGTCAGTTCCTCCTTGGGTGCGCCCGTTGATCTCTGAGCATCAGTTTCGTCATCTGAAGTTGAAAGTCAGTGGCACAAGGGCATTTCGTCTTACTGGGTAGGGAGGTGGACCTTTAACTCTCTAATCCTTCATGGGCAGAGACAGCTTTACAGTGTTCCCCTTGGGATGCCTGGGTGGCGCAGTCAGTTGAGCGTCTGACTCTGGGTTTCATTGTCTCAGGTCGTGATCTCAGGGTCGTGAGATCGAGCCCTCCATTGGGCTCTACGCACAGTGTGGAGTCCGCTTGGGACACTCTCTCCCTCTGCCCCTCCCCCTTGCACATGCGCTCTCTCTTCTCAAATAGGTAAATAAATCTGAAAAAAAAAAAAACCAACCAAACAAACAAACCAAAAAACCCCCAAAGTGTTCCCTTTCTCCTGCTTTTCCTCATGCACACATTGTGATAGGTACATGGGCACTGAGGCCAGAGCAGAATGGCCAATTCACATCTCACCCCACGAGCTTTTTTTTTTTTTTTTTTAAGATTTTATTTATTTATTTGACACAGAGAGAGAAAGCACAAGTAGGCAGGCAGAGAGGGAGAAACAGGCTCTCCACCAAGCAGGGAGCCGGACGTGGGGCTCGATCCCAGGACCCAGGGATCATGACCCGAGCCGAAGGCATCCACTTAACCGACTGAGCCACCCAGGTGCCCCTCACCCCACGAGCTTGTTGAATAGAAAGGCAGGCAGGAGCCTGAACGTTTTTTTTTAGAACTTTTAATTTTTTTTAGATGAAATTTACATAACTTAAAATTAAGTATTTTCAAGTGAACCATTCAGAGGCACTTAACTATATTCACATTGTTGTGTAACCACCACCTCTATACACTTCCAAAACCTTTCTATCACTCCAAATGAACTCCTTACCCCCTAATCTCCCCATTCTTCCCTCCTCCCAGCCCTTGGCAAACACCAATCTGCTTTCTGCTCACGTATTTGTTTTTTAAAGGTTTTATTTATTTATTTGACAGAGAGAGACAGCAAGAGAGGGAACACAAGCAAGGGGAGTGGGAGTGGGAGAAGCAGGCCTCCCGCCGAGCAGGGAGCCCGATGCGGGGCTCGAACCCAGGACTCTGGGACCATGACCTGAGCGGAAAGCAAACGCTTAACTGTTTGGAGCCACCCAGGTGCCCCTGCTCGGGTTTTTAAAAATGAAAGGGTTTTAGTGTTTTAAAAATGAAAGTATAATTTACATTTGGTAAAATTCACACTTTTTAGTTTTTGGTTGTGTGAGTTTTAACAAATGCATACAGTTGTGTAACCATCACCACAGTCCTCATCCTCATTGTTTTCACTGTCCCTTTGTAGTCCAGACGCTAGCAACCACACTGATCTGTTCCTATAGTTTTGCCTTTTCCAAAATGTCATATAAATGGAATCATACCATGTTTAGCCTCTTGACTCTAGCTAGCTTCTTTAACTTAGCATTATAACAGATTTTCCTTTCTTGGGTCTATCTAGCTAAATTTACTCAATGACATTAAAATGCGTGTCTGAGGGGAGGGGCTTCACTAGGATCTGGGTGAGGAAACCCCTTCCCAAAGCCAGCGGAGTGACCCTTTTCAGCCAAGTGCAAAGCGCACTGGACGGGTTCCACGCGGCTCCTAAGAGCATCAATAGAGGGCGCTGTGAGCCCAGGACGCCAGGCCCAGTGAGGGCGGAGGCTCCGCCTCTTTCCGGTGCCCGCAGGACTGCTCAGTTCCTATAGGCCAGAGGAGGAACTTGGGGGCGGGGCCGGAAAGTCCCCTCCTCCGACTCTCAGTGGCGCGCCTGGCGACAGCAGGCGGTCTCCCCAGCAGGCGGCGGAAGTCAAGGGCGAGGACGCGGCCCCACCCCTTCCCAGACTCGCCGCCCCCATCCTCCCGCCCCCTGGGCGCGCATGCTCCTTGGCGCCTCAGGCAGCCTTGCGCGCGCTCCCGCCAGCCCGTTCCTCTGGCCCCACCCCCGGTCTCGCCCCCGCCCGCTCCCACGCACGCCTCGCACGCAAACGCCGCAAACGTGCGGCTTCCGTGTGTTCCCCGCGCGGAGGCGCTCGCTTACTTCCTCCAGCGGCCGCCGAGCCTGGGCCTCGCCCTGGGGTCTAGTGCTGTAGCCGGCGCGGTACGGCGGGAGTCTTAGATGGTTTAGTGGCCGCAGTGAAAGGAACAGGTGACGTTAATTTTAATGACGTGTTTAATTTTTTTTTTTTATTTGAGAGAGAGAATGAGAGAGAGAGCACAAGAGAGGGGAACAGGAGAGGGAGAAGCAGACTCCCCGCCGAGCAGGGAGCCCGATGCGGGACTCGATCCGGGGACTCCAGGATCATGACCTGAGCCTAAGGCAGTCGCTTAACCAACTGAGCCACCCAGGCACCCGACGTGTTTAGTTTTTAAGCCACAGCATCCGCAACAGTGTCATTTCAGAACAGGTGATGAATGTAAGAAACTACGCACGAAATACCTCATTCTTTTCTTCCTGCCATATTTAGGAACCTTGTCTGCCCTGGCCGTACTTTTGTGGGGACAGCCACGGGTGCAGGGTCAGCAGCCACACGTGGGGCAGCGACAGGGTCCAGGGTCAGCAGCCACGCGGGGGGTAGTGACAGGGTCCAGGGTCAGCAGCCACGCAAGGGGTAGTGACAGGGCCCAGGGTCAGCAGCCATGCAGGGGGACAGTGACAGGGTCCAGGGCCAGCAGCCACATGGGGGGTAGTGACAGGGTCCAGGGTCAGCAGCCACGCAAGGGGTAGTGACAGGGCCCAGGGTCAGCAGCCATGCAGGGGGACAGTGACAGGGCCCAGGGTCAGGAGCCACGTGGGGGGCAGTGACAGGGTCCAGGGTCAGCAGCCATGTGGGGGGTAGTGACAGGGTCCAGGGTCAGCAGCCATACATAGCATAGTGACAGGGTCCAGGGTCAGCAGCCACGTGGGGGGTAGTGACAGTGTCCAGGGTCAGGAGCCATGTGGGGCAGTGACAGCATCCAGGGTCAGCAGCCACGTGGGGGGTAGTGACAGGGTCCAGGGTCAGCAGCCACACAAGGGGTAGTGACAGGGTCCAGGGTCAGGAGCCACGTGGGGGGCAGTGACAGGGTCCAGGGTCAGCAGCCATGTGGGGGGTAGTGACAGGGTCCAGGGTCAGCAGCCATACATAGCATAGTGACAGGGTCCAGGGTCAGCAGCCACGTGGGGGGTAGTGACAGGGTCCAGGGTCAGCAGCTACATGTACAGTGGCTCTGGTCCAGATGGCCATACCACCTGGGGGCCAGGCTTGGTGGTCTGGAAGGGCATGGTGTCCTGCAGGCTTTGCATAGGCTGGCTTGGGAGGAGGAATAAGTGGAGAAGATGTGGGAATGGTATGGCATAGGACATCCAAGGCTGCTAAGAAGCTTGGACTTTATTTTTTGTGAGGGGGTGGGGGCGTAGGAGAGACAGGATCAAGGCAGTGTTCCACAAAACCTCTTTACTGAAGTATCACAGAATACACACTCAGAAGAGGAGCATAGCTTAAGTGTTTAGCTCCATGAATTTTCACAAACTCAATATACGCCCCTGTACCAAGCACCACAGCAGGGCTTCAAGTGGCTTATTTTTCTAAAATGTTAAAAAATTTTGTGGAAACAATTAGGTGTCCAGGGAGGTACTGTGCACCCCTTCACCCAGCCTCCCCAGTGTTAACATCTTGCATACCTCAAGTACAGCACCAGAACCAGATCATCATGACCATTGTGGCGCACCAGCCCTATTCAGTCACATTTTACCAGTTTTATGTGCTTTTGTTGTGTGTGTGTTTGTTGACGGACCGTTTTGCACCAGCGATGTATGAGTTGCTCTGCATCTTCACCGGCAATCATCGTCAGAATATAATTGCATCTGTTCGACCTTTCTGGTGGATGTAGAGTGGAATCTCACCACTGTTTTAATTTCTATCACCATGGACTAGTTTTGCCTATTTTAGACCGTCATACAAATCGTACAGTATTTATACTCTTACTATCTGGCTTCTTTTGCCCAACACAATGTTTATGGTTTTGTGTGTATCAGCAGTTTATTTATTTTTATGGCCAAGTATATTTCGTTGCGTGATATACCACAGTGGATTTAGCCGTTCACCTAGCCGTGGACATTTAGGTTGCTTGCAACTTATAGCTATCATGGATATAGTTTATTTTATTATTATTATTGTTTTTTAAGATTTTATTTATTTATTTGACAGAAAGAGACACAGTGAGAGAGGGAACAGAAGCAGGGGGAGTGGGAGAGGGAGAAGCAGGCTTCCCGCTGAGCAGGGAGCCCGATGCGGGGCTCGATCCCAGGATCCTGGGATCATGACCTGAGCTGAAGGTCGGTGCTTAATGACTGAGCCACCCAGGCACCCCTTATTACTGTTTTTTTTTTTTTTTTTTTTTAAGTAGGCTCCACGCCCAGCATGGAGCCCAACACGGGGCTTAAATTCATGACCTGAGTTTAAGATCAAGAGTAGGATGCTTGTGGTGCCTGGGTAGCTCAGTCTGTTAAGCGTCTGCCT